GTACTCTGTGAAGACACGAGTGTCTTCATAACCAGCGCCTGCATCACCAAGTGACACAGGCTGGGTCGCTTCAGCATCCGATGAGACATCAGTTGCTGTTGTTTCTGCTTCGGTGTCCACACAGAGACGTGCGGACGCGCTCTCGGCGGCCTTGTTCGCGCATCGCATGGGCTTGTTTACCATGCGATGAAACGTTGGAAAGTGGATTCGGACCAACAAGTGCAAACCCTGACCCAAATGATTTGGGAAGAATATCCATTTAGTCAATCAGTCACTAACGTGACTGATGGTTAAGGGGGGGGTGATGTAACGGGGTGAATCGTTACATAACAATTTATAAGAAATTGTTAATAGAATAAACTGTAAGAGTTATATTCTCAGAATATTGTCATTCGGACAAATCTCCTGCAGCACCTACGAGTAGTTCCTAATTGGTTGATATAGTCCATTTTGTCAACCAACGAAGACGCGCCACGACAGACGCACGCAATGAGTGGTGAGCAGATAGTTGATATGCACATTTGTATTCAGACATAGTTAGATGAGGATAAATGGTGATTTATTAACAGACATTAACTATTACTAAATACAGTTCTACTTTTTACTTTAACCAATTACTCGCTTCTTCTTACCGTCTTCCTCTGCACGTACGAGTGTACGTGAAGTTCCGAGGCACCACCTTATTCTGTCGTCAGAATAAGTAGCTTGTACTGTCATCATTACAAGCTTCAGGGTGCCCCGTTACACTATGGTGGTGGCCGCTCATCATATTTTGTTCATCTTGTGTACGCAATTTCTTGGCATTTTAACACCACACTCGAAGCATTTATCGTATCGGGTTAACCAAGGAACATACAGTGAAACGCACATTTTGTCCAACTTGGGTCTTATGAGTTTGTTAATGTTGAATAGATCTTTCCGCCAAAAACACACACGGCTGATGGGTCAGGTTTCCGCCTGCAGATCACTTCGTACATATTGTTGGTAAAGCTACTGGCGCACGGTACTTGGTCTGTCACGATAATTCGGTGTTTATTGCCTCCACCCACCATTTTTTTGTAAAATCTCATGTGACAAAGTATATCTTCTGCTCTTCCATAATGGTTTGGTCCAGGGGTTCAGCCAAGCCATCATGTTGTGGCGAAGTTGGGACTGTCGTCTGGCAAAAAATTCAAAACTTCTGGCAAATTTCATATACGTTTGACAAATTCCGTATAATCCGCAAATTTATGGAAATCGTATACTAGTCAACAGTACCCAATAAGCCACAACAGGATGGCTTGGCTGAACGCCGGAACCAAACGGTTCTATCTGCGTATTGATTGTAATGTCGCTTTCTTGAAAAATTGATCATCTTGATCTATTTTTGTCCATCAGTGCTTTGTATTCGACAAATTGATCTACCACTTCGGACTTGTTAGCGATGTAGTATGTGATTAGATATTTTAAGAAGTTATAGTTAAATTTTTTGCGTCAAATCTTGCGTCTTCCAGAAACTTCTACTACACGGGCCCCGTTACGTCACTGCGAATAATGTCTGATGCTTTTTATCTTTCACCTGCCGATGACTTATCTTTAGGAACGTTTGACACATGACCTGCCCAGCATGCATCCTTCAAATATCTCGACATAATTGTAACTATTCTGTGGATATAATGCACTCGACTTCATCGGACATCTCTATGTACTACTCTTTTACCTTAAATTTTTAAGGCCATTGTCCGTCCGGTTGCTCGTTTCCGTGATGACTTTTGTGTGTCCGTCCCAAATTGTATCTTGTTTGTATAAGGTCTAGGAATGACCCAGAATTACAGATTTATTGATCCGACAATCCACGTGCTACCACCTGCCGTTGGACTTACCCCGATCACCCCTAATTACGAAGTCTCAACTCCGACCGCTGATCGTGCTATCTTCCGCATTCTACTCTGTTTGTTGGTGTTAGTGTAGACTTTCATGAGAGTAAATGTTCATAGGATCACACTACTTCAGCACTACGACAACTTTGATTACACATTCCGATTTTAGTTCTTCCACTTCGGTCTACAGTCTCCAGCCAACACGATGTCCTGTTTTTCACTAAAAACCGCCGACACAACCTTTCATGTCCTTGATCACCTTCATCGGCATATGGCCAATCGTACATGTATCACCCTTATATCAACCGATCCTGGTCCGTCCCCTGATCTATTTTCCTGACAATTTTCATCATACAAATTTGCTGAATCAGCCGCGCGGCATGATACGTACGACGCACATCTTGTTCCGATTACCACTATTTCGCTTCTGGTCTGACAACTTAAATCTAAAAAGATCACCTGGCGACCTCTTCTTAGTAAGCTGAAATTGACATTAGTTTTCGGTCTAATCCCGGGACATAAAGTATCTCTTCGATCCTTGTGACTTCTCCTGTCTGAAATTGTACGTGCCGTCCCGACTACTTTAGCATCAACCTATTTATTCTAGGATGGTAATCAAATGGTCCTTGATTGAGTACATCCACGAGAACTCATCACTATTGGGACACATGTGGCTGCTATATCTTAACCGTCTAATGACTATCTAGTCGTCGTACGAGTTGACGCAGTAAATGTCCTACCTTCTCTGGATACTTTTTCTCTGCTCGGTCACCCTTTTAATCCTGACGCTTGTGACCATTATTTTTATATGGGAACGTCTTCCCACAAAATTACAGCGCTTAATATCTTATAACTGTGCCAAGTTGTAAAGGGGCACCCTATGTTTGGGATGCCGAAAAGCTTTACGTTCACTAGTACGTGCAGAGGAAGCTAGTCTACTCAACAGCTAAGTTGAGTAAAGGGTAAAAAGAGAACTGTATTTAATATAGTTAAGCTATCAATATATCTTCCGTCTTTATCTAACTATACAATCTACAGTGTTGTATGACGACAACCTGGTCACCACTCATTGCGCGCGTCTAGCAGCGATTGGTGGCAATCTATGGTTGATATGTCTTACATCAACCAATCTTGGAGCAGCGCATGAATATTTTCTAAAAGGGGATAATTGTCCTTCGACCTTATTCATCTTGGATAATATTGGTAGGGTATCGTCATGCTAAGCAATATTCCTATTGACACCATTTGATGTGAATATCCTGTGACGGGATACCCCGTTACATCACCCCCCTAACCATAAATCACCCGTTGATTGAATTATAATTGATTGGCACAGGGTGACCACCGTTGGGTCACTCTGGAAAAGAAAGCACTTGTTGGTTAAATGCCATTTATGTGCCAATCCAACGCATGGTTTAAACAAATGCGGTTTGCTATTGCAGCAGCGAGAAGGGCGGCTGCACGTATGCGTGCAGCCGCAAAAAGTATCTCTCTCACCTCAACAGCAGGTGATTCGTCTTTGATGCTGTGAACAGTCCACGTGGTAAGTCACCACGTGCGACGGGCACATCCTTTGTGTCTGCAGCGGATATCACGAGTCGTAATCAAGATGAGTCTGAAATAGAGGTCATCGATTCAGGCGAGTCGGATGACGCATCTAACTCGAAGGCGACACCTCACGCCTCCGATCACCTGGGGAGGATTCTGCAAGAGCCAGATTGACTGGATCTGGTCAACGTGGCGGCATCATGCTCGAGATTTTCGGATCGAGTGTTAATTTCGACGAACCTCCGCCTCACGAAAGCCCATCCAACGATAGGACGCGTGGGGATGATGATGACGCACCTATACATCACCACGAGCGAAGTTATTGAAGGGTCGAGGTGTTACTGGTGTCAGTGCTCATGCTGGCACCAATCATGAGGCCAGGGACCGAAATGTCCTGCGCCACGCTCCCCAAGTGGAGTCTCCGTGGATGCCACCATCCAGAGAGTTGGACCAGTTGGACGGCATGACTATCGAACGGGATCAAATCCCGATGTTCGATTGCAGGAAGATTTGCTCACCTAATTCCAGCACGGAAACTATACGTGCTGAGGAAGATCGCTTCACCGATGCGTACTTCAAACATCGGTGGTACAATAGTAGCCGTGTTCGAGACGGCAAAGCTTTGATGCAGGTATGGAATGTTCTCGTCCATAACATCGAGAGCATTGGCCGTGAGGCCTGGCTCGCCAGACTTGATGCAGCTCGCATCAGTTTGAGAAATGCAACCTAGTCGGGCGCGATACAAGTTGCACCGGCTGTCAAGAGAGGCAGGATTATCCTGTATCTCGTGGGGTGATTCGTGTCCAGGGTGCTTGCCCAACTATAATCGTGCCCCTAGGTGCGCCCTCCGGTAGAAAACATAAGGGAGATAAGCCCTCACTAGAAAGCAATGACCACCGCTTGAGTCCACCAAAGGATGTGGTGGTGGCGGTAACACCTTATACGGCTCGAGGGTCAGATCAGCTTGATGTTTAGGAGCTGAACCGTGTAACGGAACAGTTACAAGATGACCTGGCTCATGAACGGACTAGGCGTTATGAGCTTGAGGATCTTGTAAGGGATAATTATAATTCCTTAACGCACGATTGTTCGGACAATCGTGCCGTGTTTGCGTTTGCGCAACTTGAGAACAAACGTTCGACTTTTTCTCTTCGTGATGAGCTGGCTGTAGATCGTCGAGAGATCGCTCAACTGCGTAAACAGGTCGCTTCGCTAGTCGAACAGACTGGCTTGTTGAAACGGGACCACTCGAAGGTGGTCTCGGCTCTCGACCGTGGAGGTGTTCTTTGCATCTCCAAACGAACGAGCTCGTACTGATGGTACGGGCGGAGACGACCAACGTAAAACGTAGGATGCGTGCGCATCTTGCGGGGCAGTTCAATCGTGTATGTGTTGCCCAATTGGCGCAACACACGAAATGGACCGATGTACTTTGGCAATTATTTTTCTGCTGCCCACGTTTGTCACTGCGTGTTTTGGTAGATTTACTACAGACAATAAAACTAAGTCTCCTTCATCTAATAAAAGAACATTTGCTCCTCCTTATTTGTTGGCGTTTCTCAATTGTCTGTCTTGTGCATCTGCAATAGAGTCTTAAACGAAGCGGACAACCGCTTCGCGAGTCGGCAGAAATTCCTCTGCTGATTCATCCTTGTCAACAGCACTGCGCTTCGTGTGCACTGCTGAAAGAACGTTGTCTTCACCAGTGAGGGTATCATCGTCCTCACTTTGGCGGTCATTGGCGATGCTGAATATGCCAGCATCGTCGTCATCGACATCATCGACATCGATCCCATCGACATCGACATCCATCACGTCGACACCATTGTCGACGGATGATGAGCAAGATTCAGATCGGTATTTGTTCGAGCGAGTCCACCCCCCCCCTTAAACTAGAGTCACCCCCCCCTTAAACTAGAGTCACACTCTAAGAAGACGGCTAAATGTGGATGGCGTAGGCCATTCACGAAGAACGGTGTATGCGCTGTCGACGCGTGCAACGAGTTGTTGATGACGAGTTCCGCCATCGGCAAGAACTCACTCCAGCTCGTAAACTAGTGGACATACCCTCGAAGTATCTCTTCGAGGACGCAGTTGGCGCGTTCCGTTTTACCATCTGTTTCGGTATGGTCAGAAGTTGACATCGTCAAATGTGTTCCAAGTAAACGGAACACGGATTGCCAGAACTCCGCTGTGAAGCGTTGGTCCCTATCGGACACGAGTTCAAGGGGTACCCGTGAAGTCGGAAGATAGTATCGATGAAGACACGCGCACAGCCCTGAGCTGCGACTGACTCCGGTACTGCAACAAGATGTACCATCTTGTTTTACCGATCAACAAACACAAGAATACCCGTATTCTTTTGAGTGTCTTTGGGAAACCCGAAGACGAAGTCCATCGATACGGACTGCCAACACTTTGCAGGAATCGGAAGAGGCTGCAAAGGTGTGCAGGATGAAGGGCTAGACTTCACTAGTTGACAACCTTCGCAAGCGCGAATGTATTTGCGCACAAACTCATACTGGCGGGGCCTGTAAAAGTCACGGCTCACCATGAGGTAAGTCTTTTTCCTACCGCGATGCCCACTTGTTGGTGCATCATGACACTCATACATGATGTGCAATTGCAAATTTTTTATGAGCCGGAACGACAACACGAGGTGTGTCGCCGTTGACTGCTGCATAGTACAGCAGTCTATCACGAACAGAATACCGTTCGATTGAAGAGCGGTATTGAGACGACAAGTTTTCAAAGCTTGATTGCACGGATTGGATACGGAATCTGTCAATCGCAGAGAAGACTCACCTTCTGCGTATGCTTTTCGCACGATGTCGCGTAGATTCGACGACGGAACATTCACTGTTAGTGTCGCTACAGTGGGATCACCCCTATTGTTGTGTTGAGCAGTCGGCTCAAAATTGGGCCAACGCGAAAGAGAATCAGCGACGACATTAAGTCGTCCTGGTTTGTACTCGACGGAGAAATTGTACTCCGCGAAGAAAGACAGCCACCTCGTTATTCGTTGTGAGAGGTGTGGACTGTTTGCGGCCGTGCATAACGACGCATGGTCGGTATAAACGATAAAGGGCCTATCTCCTAAGAAATATAACCGAAACTTAGCTAGTACATATTTCATTGCAAGGCGTTCCTTGTCATGCACTAAGTAATTTACGCTCAGCTACTTGCAGCTGACGCGATTGATAACAGACGACGCGCTCAACGCCGTCTGAGTCGTACTACATTAACAGGCAGCCGATTGAAAAATCGCTGGCGTCACAGACCACATGGAATGGTCTGTACCGATCTGTAATCACCAACACAGGCGATTGCACCAAGCTTTTCTTGATGCCTTCAAAAGAGGGCTGACACTCAGCGCTCCATGACCACCTCTCATTTTTCTTTAGCAGACGAGAAATATATACGGCCATCTCGGCATAGTTGCGCGAGTATATGTGCAAGTACGCCGCTAAGCCACGAAACTTTCGAAGTCAATTGACGTCGACTGGCACAGGCCATTTGCTAAGCGCCTTGGTCTTTTTCGGATCAATGCGTACGCCGTGTTTACCCACGATGCAGCCAAGAAGTGGTATTACGTTCGCTGCGATTATACACTTCTGGAGGTTCACTAACAACTTATGCTCTTGCATAAGTGTAAGAACCTTCCCGACGTGGATTCTATGAAACCTCACGTCCGTCCTTCCATACATGGCCTGGCTATGGACGAAGACATCGTCAAAGTAATTCGGTGTGAAGTATCGCACCGATCGCAACAGATTCGTAACACATCTGTTGAACGTGGCAGGGGCATTACTAAGCCCCCGTGGCATTACTAGCCACTACCAGAGCATACCACTGGGGGTGCTCACTGCTGTATAGGGTATATCCCGTTCACGCATGAGGATCTAATAGAATCCATCCATTTATCTACGGGAAAAAGATGGTACTCTTTGCCATAACATCAATGCTTACGTCCTTCTTCGGTGTCGACGTCTGAGCCTGTACCGTTGCAGCGTTCAACTTGTTGAAAGCGTGCTTTATCCGCCACAATCCTGTGGCCTTTTGCACACATAAGGTCGGGGAGCTGTGTGGAGATGTTGATTCCATCACATGACCAGCTGCTAAGCGATCGGCAAAGAATCCGTTGATCGCTGTGACATATTCACGAGGCCACTGCTTTATGACACAGTATTTCGAATCGGGTTTCAGTTAGATATCATGCCGAGTGCCTTTATCCTTAAGCAATTCGCATGGCACGCATTCAGGAAATTATCCCTGAATTCGATCGAGTTCTTATACAAAGGATTTGTCTTTAAAGACTCCCAAGACGTGTACCGCTCGATCCGGGTCTTCTCATCAAGGACATTCTCGTCCCTTGATGAGCTACTAATAACCCGTTCCATTTCAGTAAACACTTGTGCCGACCGAAATTCGGCGACGTACTCGTCCTCTGTGAAGAGTACACAGATCTACTTGATCTTGTCACTACGCAGATCTCGCAAGAATCTTTTATATTCCAGCGGTGGCAACTTGACCACCTCCGAAGCTGACTTCGGGGGCGTCACCAGATCAAGTGTATCATCGCCTACACTTGATCCGTCATTCATCAAGGCATTCACTGACTCGGTGATTTCCTGGGAAAACACATCCGCAGGTGGTTGGGAATCCACACCCTCATCATAACTCTCTCGGGAGTTATTGCTCTCAGGAACGCCGGAATTTTCTTCCAATACGTTTACTATCACGGTCACGTCTTCTTCGATCGACTCTCTTTCATTCGATCGGGCTTGCTCTACGCTCGACTCTCTGATAGTCGATCTTGCTTCAACGTGCTGTTCATCCTGAACAACACTAATATCTCTTCTTTGGTGCAACCTTCTTGGTGTGCATCCGTGTTCCAGTCCACTCGATCTCTTCGAGTGGTGAACCTTCGGCGCAGCCTGTGTCTCTACACAGGTGCCTGAAGCTGGTTCCACAGTGTAGTGGCCTTCTACACTGTGATCTTGTGCAATCGTACTAACGACCGTACCACAAGTAAGGCTATCGCACTCACTCGTAGTACATCCACCATGCTTGTGGGCGCTCCGAGACGTTCATCAGATGGCCGTTGGAAGTCAAACGGCAGACATCTTCACGGATCGATGCTGCCAGCTGATCCACGGATGGAATTATCAAGCCATGGAAGACCAAGGATGACATCAAATTTGTTATCCAAATCTAGTACGATAAAGTCATTATCGTGCTGATTTCCTTCTAGCGTATAGTGGATTCCCACTACACGTTTGCTCACTGTTACGGATGCGTCTGTAGCAAGGCACACCGTCATCCTCGTTGGACGGAACACTCGCTAAACACAGTTGAATCTATTATCCCTTAGCGACTGACGTCGAATAAAACTGTTCGACGCCCTACTGTCAACTGGGCGCGAAGTGACATTTCACTTGTCACTTCGATCTTCAAAGTGATAAGAGACTCCTCACAACTAGGGGCAGTGACACAAAAATACTGTGTGTTGGGAGCAATCTTCGTCAAGAGTCCTGAAAATTCTCTTGACGTTGCTGTATCAGCAGAGTGCTCCGCCCCTACTGACCCTGTCCATTTTTTGACGGTCCGACTTGCTGTCTCTGCTCAGCGACATGGCCGAACCCACTCCTCGGATCTTTCCTTGGCCAACGGTGGTCATCACGTCCTGTCTTCGGACGTGTAATGGTTCTCGGGACACTACACTCATGAGCGCAGTGTCCAATCTTCTGACAGCGATGGCATCGTGCCATTCGCTTGTGGCTTAGAGAACGAGAGTTATCGCTCTTGATATAACAGAGGTCCATTGGTTCGGGACCTCCTGTTTCCTGTCGTTTCGTCGGACGATAGTTTGACGATTTAGCCTGAGACTGTCTCAGGCTGAATTCTTCTTGTTCCACGTACGCTATCGCCTTTTCCAGCGTATGGAAATCATCTCGGAACATGTAGGTCTTCACCGGCCCATCTACAAGACCGCAGATGAACACGTTGATGTTCGTGTGCTCATCAACAGGGTTTTCCGTAACGCTGCTCGCGAGGTAACTCAGGTGCTGTGCGTAAGCGTGCACGTCACGCTTACCTTGCTTTAGCCTCAAGAGTGCAGAGCGTGCTCTGGACTCGGTTTTGGCAGCTCAAACGTCTCTTTAAGCCGAGCCTTCAAGATCTCTAACGACTCAAAAACGTTTGGGTCGTGAAGCTTGAGCGTAAGGCCCAAGTCTTTGCTCGACCCGTCAAGTTTGACAGGGCGAAGGTGACTTGCATCTCGTCACCCTCGATGTGACGGGCCCTGATGGCATCGTCTAGCTCGACGAACAATCTCAAAAGGGAATCTTCATCGGTTCCCTTGTAGCTAAGATATTAATCTTCTACGTCTCGGGTCGACGCATATGCGTCGGCCCACCCATCGACTGATGAGAGCCCTGCTGCTGTAGCAAGGCTATCTTCTGTCGTTCGACGGCAAGTTCCCCTGGTAGGAACTTGTTGATAGCAGCATGTTGCTGGTCTCTGCTTAGAGACTCCAACATACCACTGATAGCGATTTCGCCCATGAGCACACTCATGCGACCGACTACCTCCCACTCTGAATCACTCAGATGGGAGTAGCCTTCACGCGTGACGTGAAATCTGTCGTCTTCAACGTCTAACATGTTCATCTTGGACGTACATCAAAAATTAGTTGGACGGACTACAAAGTGCTAACAGGTGTAACGGGGCACCCTATGTTTGGGATGCCGAAAAGCTTCACGTTCACTAGTACGTGCAGAGGAAGCTAGTCTACTCAACAGCTAAGTTGAGTAAAGGGTAAAAAGAGAACTGTATTTAATATAGTTAAGCTATCAATATATCTTCCGTCTTTATCTAACTATACAATCTACAGTGTTGTATGACGACAACCTGCTCACCACTCAATGCGCGCGTCTAGCAGCGATTGGTGGTAATCTATGGTTGATATGTCTTACATCAACCAATCTTGGAGCAGCGCATCAATATTATCTAAAAGGGGATAACTGTCCTTCGACCTTATTCATCTTGGATAATATTGGTAGGGTATCGTCATGCTAGACAATATCCCTATTGACACCGTTTGGTGTCAATTTCATGTAACAGCCTACCCTGCTACACCCTACGGGTCGTACCCGCTTATGCCCGTGACTTATTGATGTGTAAGGATAGTTAATGGTGTTGTGAGCTGTAGAAGCTGGAAGAAGGTTAAATGAAAGTGAATATAGTGTCAGCGAGGTCGGTAGTTCGCTATGTTGTGCGACCTTAAGCCTATCAATATCGATTCTACGACATCAGCGACGAATAGTGAGTCGATACTAATCGCTGCACACGATACCGTTGTGCCGTCTCTGCCGATTTTGTGCCCAAGTGATGAGCCACGTCAGAATCACCAACAAAATCAGACACTATTTCTTCTGTTTGAAATTGCTTTCATCTAAACTGGAAATGGTGGCTGAAGGCGACTGAAGGCAGTCATAATCACCAAATGTTCGTTAGTTCGACTATCTCGATGAGATGAAACATTTTCGTGATGATGACTGAGACGACCAAGGCGACGGAATAATACCGCTATGTACATATCAGTTGTGGCTCGGTATGTTGAGGACTTCCTTCTGATCATGTTCGCAAGAGGCATTGTGATAGCTCTGCCCGCTCAGTTTAAAATTTCAGGCTACAATAACACCTTAATGTCCCGATGACCGCTTCGTTCAAACAGACGTGTCTCGAGTGTCAAAACTCAACAACTTTGCGACTTACACAAATCGACATGGCATTGCCTTGGATGCAAGACGTCTGCGTTTCGCAATACGTGTCGCTCAGCTAGTAGTCGGACATAAACCTGATGCTACATAAGTTTTATGATGTTATAGTTGCTTTAACAATTCCCCAGATGTCAAATTGTCGCCAATATTCAAAAGCCGTCGCAATAGGTCTCGATAAAATAACCGTGTTACAACATCGGAAACACTTGAGAGAGCCATAACAACATAAAAACGCACCACCTTAGCACACAAAAATGACATTCATATCCCAGTAAAAGTATGAGTCACGTTATCGACGCATACGCTTCGTAGCAGGCTTGTACGCATCAAGAGGCAATGAGACGACTGCGCATTTGACCGAGGCGTCTCGCTTAAACACTTTCGAGCCCTGAACGAGCTCATCCCATTTTAGCAGCGCATGCGTCATTCGATCGCGTAGATCGCGAATCTGAGATTGCAGTGTTGACTCGCTAGAGACGGACCGTTCTATGTTCGTAGTGTAGTGCTCCCAATCGTCCAACAACGGGATGAAGCGCTTCCGCAAGCGAAGAGCACCATCAGCCAAGTTTCGAAACAGTGTGTCATTTTCAGACGACTCCTCACAAGCCTGCTTGGACACTTCCACGGTCAGGCGATATGACGAGCTACCGAGACCATAGGCCTGCACGATATCGTTGATATCAAATGTATCGCCTTTGCCATCGTCTTCGTCCGAATCAGTGTCTGAAATAGCATCACAAGAGATGCTGTCCTCTGCTGCGTTTCCGCACTTCACATCTTCTTCCCCCGCATCGACTCGTTCTGTTGATGGTACATCTTCCCATTCAACATTCTCAGGATCATCCTCGTCGCATTGTGTGCTACCCTCGACGTCGCTTTGTACATCATTCTGTGATTCACAAAGTTGTTCCTCTAGGTTTGCGGCAGCTGCGTTTCCGTCAGCTGACAACGACGACCGTCCTCTCTCCCCATCGTCTGGTAGAAAAAAAGCATCCATCGTCGGCACCAAGATCTCAAACACTCGGTTCATCTCCACGAGCACTTGCTCCATCTCCGGCACATACCGTTTCATCTCTCGATCTCGTTGCTGCTTTTTCACAGCACTCACTCGCTCTCGATGCCGTAGAGCATCCACAGCTTGCTCGTCCTCCTCTCGCTTCTTTTCACGTGCGTTCGGGAACACGTACCCTCTCTCCATCAGTACTGCATGACCAGCAACAAGAGCCGGATACCTCTCCCCGAAATCTTCTTTCCAATTCTCAATGAGTGCCAATACCGCCGTCACGTGCGCCAAACTCTGACTTCTACCGCGCAAAGCTTTCGATGCATTAGCACTTGGGGTTGCTCCGGCAGCCACAAGCATTTGATCAAAAAACGAAGCAGTCTGCGTCGAAACGAGTGCTCGGAACACTGCTGAGCGCTTGAATAGTTCTCTGCACAGCTCAATTGCCTGCACAATATTCATACAATCAAATTATATTAAAACTGTGACAAAGACAGAATAACAGTGGCACCTCACACGATTACCACCACTACCGTTACTAGCAAATAAAAAAAATTCCAGAAAAAAATCGAAATAAAAAGGACACAAATCTAAAATAAAAACAAAAAAAGGGTGACAAAAAAACCTTCGAAAAAAGAACAGGCGAGTTTTTAGCCCGCTTAAATTGATGCAAAAGCAGTGCATAGAGTCGCTGAATGTACTGAGATTGCATCGCACTGTTCGCGTCACGCAAGAGTCGCTTCAGTTGGTTTAAGTAGGTTTTAGAACAAGTGTCCGAGTCCTTCGGTGCGTCGGTTGACTTGGCTCTGCGTCCACCAGCACGACGTTTGCCACGTCTCTTCTGACCAGCTGTGGACACACGAAAGTAGCTGGTCAAGACGTCATTGAAGCGAGCAGCTTCGTTCGCGGCGTTTAATCCATCGATGTCTTGCGACATTTTAAGCGACGAATTAGCAACGAGTCAAGTCGAAATCACGCAGCAGGTTGCTCGAATGTAAACGACCTTTCGTGGAAAACCGCTTAAAAATTGGGGACTGTGATCCGTCATTTCGCATGGCCTGGATATCGACCAATCAACGTGAGACTCCGTCAGGCAGTCACGCGCAGCAGTGAGCTAGTCACTCATTCGAGTGGAAAAAAACCTGTCCATTAGTGACAGCAGCCATCCACCGGTATGGGGAAGAAGCGAGTGGACGTCGGACCCTCTGCGCGCAAGGAGCGCGGGCGCCACAAAGGCGCCGAGGCTCCGTCCTGTCGCAGAGAAGACGAGAGCGACGCTAGCTACCGCCGTCGCGCATTTCCGCTGACGCTGCGCATGTGGGACTTCCAGCAGTGCGACGCCAAGCGCTGCACGGGCCGTAAATTGTGTCGCTTGGGTTACATCAAGAGTATGAAGCCGGGGATGCACTTTCGAGGGCTCGTGCTCTCTCCTGCAGGTGAACAGGCGGTATCTGCCGCTGATCGGGAGCTGGTCATGGGCACGGGCATCTCGGTGATCGACTGTAGCTGGGCCAAAGTGCAGGAGTTGCCCTATAAACAGCTACGGTCGGGCGTCCATCGGCTGTTGCCGTTCCTTGTAGCTGCTAATTCCGTGAATTATGGCCGGCCACATAAATTGTCGTGTGCTGAAGCGATTGCCGCGACGCTGTACATTGTGGGGTGTCAAGACGAAGCGAGACAAGTCATGGACGAGTTTTCGTGGGGAGCTGAGTTTCTCAAGATTAATGCAGACTGTCTCGCAGCCTATGCCGCTTGTGAGAACAGTGCTGAGGTGGTTAAGGCTCAGGTAGGAAGACTTGTTGTCATGGCGGGGGTATAGTAGCGGTAGTGGTGGTGGTGGTCGTGCTGATGTTGTGTGGTTTGTGGGTGGGGTTGGGGACGTACAGAACGATTACTTGGCCGCATGCCAATCCGAGCATAAGGAACGGCAGCAGCAGATGAAGTTGCCGAGCCTAGAAGACAGTGATGACGATGAGGAAGAGGACGAAGATGAAGGTGTGGAGCTCGATCGCTTTGGCAATGTCATGGCACCTCGTCAAGTGTCGACTGCAGTGGAGATGAAGGATGGTACCGTTAGCCAGGAGTCTGACCAAGAGCTAAGGCAATGCGAAGGTTCAGTGATAACGTCGCCTTCTAGTGTCCGTAGCGAACGACTGGACTCTGACGAAGCGATTGCGGGCTTGATGGAAAACTTGCACCGTGCAGCAGACTCGGTCAAGAAAACGCACAAGATGCGCGAGGACGCTCGTAACGCTCGTGAGTTGGATAGTGAGAAAGCGTATGCATATTCTTCCATGGAAGACGTCCATCGTCAACAGGTGGCGACAGTATGTTTGGAACGAACTGCTGTGGCTGTATCTGGTGATGCAGTGCTGCAGCTCCCGATGTCTGTGTTCCACCAGTGGGAACAAGACGATGCACGTCGAGACCGGGATAAGGCGTAGCGAGTCTAATGCTTGTATGGTGAACAACCCGTCGCCGAACATAGCTTGTCATGGAATTTGTGACGCCCATCTGTTGTTGATCATGATGCAAGAAGTACGACAACTTGAGAGTGCGTTAAGATGAATGTTGGTTGGCATCCTTCATGTGGCCGTTTATAAAGTTGATGCAGCAATCAATACTGAGTAGCAACGATTTGTTGCCTTCAATTGACGAATTTACGTAGCAACAGCACAGCCGCAGCTATCGATGGAGAAAAGGAACCAGCGGTGCGTTGTGTATACATGTATGCCGTCTCCCCTGCACGCGCTGCTCTTTTTTTTTTAACTCTGGGCATTAAATCATATTGTGGTGGTTATAGGAAGAAAAAGCAAGTGCTCTGTCTACAATGCAGCAATTGATGCTGCATGACGCTCGTGGACTTTATAGTCTCGTGATCATTGCGTCGACAGATGAAATGATTGGAAATAACGATTGAAGTTGTTGCAGTGGCCACAGAAATCACGCACGAAGAAGCGACGGTGATTAATGAGGCATAGTGTGGCCAATAAACTGCCGAATCAACGGGAGAAAGCTATCGACCTGTTGAACCGAACGATGTTACTCGTGGAGAAGAGTGCATCCCTCAACGATGTTCTAAGTCGCAAATTTATGGAAAAACACAATGCGTGCCTACGTGCGGTACGTTTCGGCTGTATCACCATGTATGTTTACGTCGTACGAGCTCACCAGAAAATTCTCTACAGTCGTAGGTGATGGTAGAAATCGGAAGGTTGTAGAGGACATCCCGCTTTTTGAGTCGACACCACAGTGATCAATGAAGTTGTTAGATACAACGGGTGAATTGTGGAAGACTCTTGGTTGACAGGATCGCGTGTAACTCCAAGAAACCAAGACGAAGCAGGTAAATTTACCGTTCGATTCGTTGAGCGACGAAAGATGCCTAAAACGGGAGCCGTAGCTGTTCTGAAACGTGTTCAATGGGGGATCAGTCATCATACGTTTCTTGCACACGAAGCCGACAACTTTGTAGTCACAAGTAGAGCAACGGCTTCGTTTTTTTTTTGGTATCGACGCGACGAAAAGCTGCCGTGTGCTGATCGTCAATTCTGTACTGGTGGATCGCTGTATATGATGAGTGCTGCAAATGACCACTGCAGGATAAAGCATACGCTTCATCTTGCACGGCTACGATCACGCATCGTCGTCCAGAGCCTTGTATGATTACCCAAATTACCCGTCAGTCGAACCTTGCGGGCAATGCATTGAGATGCGTAAGCTGCCTGCACACGACGGCGAGTCAGCTTGAAATGTATGTAAATTCTGTGGCCACCCATGCCAGTTTGCAAGTTATCGGTAAGTTGTCTAGTGCATGCATTTCGTCATTACAGGAAGAGTGTACAAGTTACTTGCAGTATTCGAGGCGCGACGAGTCCTCATCGAAGCGCTAAGAGTTGACGAACACTAGCAGGTTCTAGTTACTACGAGTCGAGCAACGTAACTTTATACATGATTCGTTCGACCTCTGTAGTTCTACACTACAGCAACAGGAGAATCACCGCGACGTACGTTGATTTGTTCATGCTCTTATCGGTGACAATAGTGATGCGGTACTTTGGACGATCGAGTTGGCACGAAAGCCTTCTGGATTGGGCGGGCTCTATTGATGATTTGGCTTCTACGTGCTATCGAGGAGTAAACCTTCGTGTGGTATTGTCTGATACGAAGTGATTAGCCACAGGACCATTTGTGCAGAAGGTTGAGTCAGAGTGTGATGTGCTCAATCACGTTCAACAAACGTGGTGGAAGATCGGAAGACCTTCAGTCGTACTTTTACCGACCATAAGAAGTTTGCTCGGATGTCCTGTCCACTCAATCAAGCAGTTGCAGAAGAAGAAAGACTACGCTGACTCTACCAAATTCTACATCGGCTAAAGCTTTTGATTCAGCTCAACCACTGAGGAAAGGTCGAGGCTGATAGGCATGAGCCACTCGTCGTTTCCTGCACAAGTTTGCTGGTCGTTAAGCTGTGATGTCGATGACCGATCATTTTTAGCGCCCGTGTGATCAGGAGCTAAATACAACCGCAATCATTTCGGCTAGAGCTTTTTTTGTTTTTTAAAAAATAATTGATTAATAGTTGACATATTTTTATTAAGTTATATTTAAATTGAATAATAACGGACTTGAACCGCTAACATTTTCGGTCGTGGTCCAGGCCGGCGAGACGAGGATTACAGAAGTTGCAACTATGGCCTAGTGACATCCCGAGAAGGCCGAACCGAGGTTTTAATGCGAGAGGGCTCGGGTGAATTCGAAAAAGGAAGATCTTTCACGCGTCGACAAAACACGCAGTCATCCGGAGGTATATTGATACTTTGCACACAGAAGCAAGCTCAGCACAGCTTGCGTTTGGTGCTAGCTGAGTAGCTGAGTGATGATAATAGATCAGGATCAACACAGCTATACTCTAGCATTTCGAAAAATACGTATAGCTGCAACATAGCTTTAGTCAGCTTGAGGCGAATGCATTTTAAAGTCAGAGATGAAATGGCTTATCGCGCGGAACACGGAAAACGGCGAGAACGTGAGACTACGTCCATAGACAAGGATTATCGCGTGACTGTAGGCGGCGTACACAATACCGTGATGCGGCTATGTATCACAAGTGAGGAGCAAACGCAAAATCGTGGTCATTGCATGGCTGTAGATTCTGTGAAGCTTTTGCATGAAGTCCCCGCTACGATTTTCTTTTTCTGGAGTTTTCATCACATCCGCCAGACATCAATGCTTTTGCGCGTGAAGAGTAAGCTGTTCGTCAGTGATTTGTGCACTTAACAGTGAGCCTCTTGAATGATCATCCAGGTGGGCTGCACCCGTACAACCGACACGGGAGTACATCGAGTTGTATATGTACGCGTCTTCACATCAGTTGAGCCCATGCCAGACATGATTGTTGCTTGACTTTAGATGTACGCAGATATCGATACAACCTTCCTCCATAGTTATAAAAAACGAGGTTGAATGCCCGTGGACAAACTACGCTTGTATAGAATGAGATGATTGTCGACGCTGACTAAGCAATGCGTGTGTGACGTTGTACGTGCAATGAACTGTCCGCCATCTGTTCCGATTTTGACATCGATTAGTCCTTCGACTGTCAACTGTGAGCAGAACAAGGTAGGCGGTCTAACTAATCGTGTGGACATTTTATCGTAATCGTCGTTTTCGAAACTTGGTCAAGGTGACTTCTTTGTTTGAAAAGACGTTTCAAGGATATCGACTGCTACTTGTTGCCATAGTAGATAAGTAGTACAAATCGAGATGCAGATGTATGTCGCATCGAAGTGTCATCAAATAGAGATGCTGAAAGGAAAACGTGGCTGCACGTAGAGCGTCTGCGCTAAATCAACTCCATTCTACTTTTGAGGGAAAAGGAAGTCCTATTCCAGACCAAAGCCTACTTCTGAGCACTAAGATATTGATAAAACGAAGTCTTATCGTTGAGGCTGCAACTTCTGTCGCAAAAAGCTCTGCCAAATACCAATTGACCTTAAGAAACTTCCGATACGAGCTACTTTGATTTGGTACAATCACGATTGTTATTCGATAAGGTCTGACCAACAATTGGTATCTCATTATCCTACGTCTGGTGAGGTAAATGCTCGCAGTTGAGATACAGATAGTTGCTAGCTTGCACGTGCTCCATCAAGCCACAAGTTTACTGTTTTCAAATCGCTTTTTATACTGCACTTTTGTGAAATAGAATGTCTGAAACTAGTTGATAGAATAGGAGTAAGACAATTTTGCTAAAATGGTCGGAAAAGATTCAGGTCGTAGGCAATCTGAGCTTATCATGTCAGAGATGAATATTATTTTTAAAATTTATAAATTAATTTATACAGTAGAGTCCCCGATCAAAAAAATATGACGTCGATGCACAAAAGTATACTTTTCCGAAACTTTAATCCTTTCGTCAACTTCTGTCACCTAACAAAAGACACAAAGTGCTCTTTTCTCATCTTTCCGACATAGCTACGATACGACATTATCAGTCCTTTCACGCCAAATCCGAGATCCTGTGTTTGTAAAAAAGGCCATTCTCTTCCATATCATTTTTGAGGATCGTACCCTCTTTCTCGATTTAATCCGTACACCGATCGCCCTATCCTCTTCCACCTTCCTCCTCCAAGTCCACCGTAACAAATGGCCGAGTCTCTCAGCAAGAAATCACGCGTCACCGGCCCACTGACGGCACTTAACCTCCTGAATGGCGCGTTCGTGCCGCCCGTGGAGGAGAAGTACATTGACGTAATCAGTCCATCAACTGGCCAAGTGATTGGCAAATGCGCGTTGTCTAGTGACACAGACGTGCAGCAAGCGGTGGCAAAGGGCCAAGAAGCTTTTGCCCAGTGGCGGCGGACGACCGTTAAAGCTCGGGCCGCGATAATGTTCAAGTTCCATGCGCTATTGAAGCAGTATCAAGGTAATAGGGTCGAGACGAGGTGTTTATCTTTTGAGGTTTTTTAGACAGACGCGATCGACCGTCGCGTAAATTACGGTCATTTATTTACTAGTCTGTATTTTCCATCTAGATGAGCTCGTGGACCTCGTCGTGCTCGAGAATGGCAAGAACCGGACGGAAGCTCTTGCTAGTATCGTGAAAGGCAATGAAACAGTCGAGTACGCGTGCAGTCTGCCTCAAGTGGTGCAAGGACGCACTCTGCAAGTGTCGCGTGGCATCACGTGCCAAGAAGTGCGAGAGCCGCTGGGAGTGGTGGCCTGCATTGTGCCGTTTAACTTTCCCATCATGGTGCCCATGTGGACGATTCCAATTGCCTTGACAATGGGCAATTGTGTGATTCTGAAGCCGTCGGAGAAGGTGTGAGCAAGGAGGAGGGTTTTTGTTGTTTTTCTTTTGCTTGTATTCCCACGCTAAAGATCTTGTGTCATTGCCATGCAGGTTCCTTTGACAATGAGCCGCGTTGCAGAGCTATTGCTGGAAGCGGGCGTTCCTAGTGGAGTATTCCAGGTGGGTGGTGCTGTCATGTTGATTGAGTTTTTTGTTGACGTTGTGATCAAATGTGACCATTTTCGTGCTGGACTGCCGCAACGGCTAGATCATTAACGGGACGGCAGACCCAGTGAATAGCTTGTGCGATCATCCCGGAATCGCTGCCGTTACATTCGTTGGATCAAGTCACGTGGCGCAGCTCGTTGCTCGTCGATGCCGAGCGCTGGACAAACGTGTGCTTGCACTAGGTGGAGCAAAAAATCACCTGGTAGCTCTTCCGGATGCAGACGCTGATGTCGCTTCCAAGGATATCGTTGCATCCTATGCAGGGTGTGCAGGACAGCGCTGCATGGCTGCATCAGTTCTACTGCTCGTAGGAGACTGTTCCAAGCTGCTTGACACCATCGTTGCAAAATCAAAGGAGTTGATTCGCGGGACCGGGGCTGGCCAGGTTGGTGCTCTCATTGACGATGCATCAAAGTCTCGAGTGCTCAAGTACATCAACGAGGCAGAAGCTACCGGTGTGAAGGTGCTCGTGGACGGCCGGTCGTGGGCCCAGCAGTCCACGGGGTTTTGGGTCGGCCCGACTGTGCTGCTCCACACGAACCCGAAAGATGCCGCAATGACGGACGAGATCTTTGGTCCAGTGCTTAGTGTGTACTGCGTGAACTCTTTCGATGAAGCGCTTCAGATCGAGAATGACAATGAGTATGGAAACGCGGCGGCGATATACACGTCGAATGGCGCTTATGCCGAGTACTTCCAGTCGCGTTTCCGTGCCGGCATGATCGGGGTCAACATCGGCGTTCCCGTGCCTCGCGAGCCGTTCAGCTTTGGTGGCATGTATGGCACGAAAAGCAAATTTGGTGACATGGACATCACGGGCGACGGTTGCGTCGAGTTTTTCTCTACGCGTCGCAAGATCACTTCGAAGTGGAGCGCCGGCAATACGTCGGGTGATGCAGCGAACTTCAGCGGCCAGCTATAGTTTCGCGTTCCCAAGAGAGTGCATGCGTCTGAGGAAGCAGTAAGGCATCTCGTCGATGGACCTTGCAAAATGCTTTTTTCATGTGTGAGGATACTACGCCCAAAAGAAGCTCTGAACAGTCTTCACGGAGCGATGAGAAGGCTTCAAAGAAGCTTCATGCTTTTGTCTGGACGGCCTGGTCTCCGATACGTTTTTCAACTCGTTTTTCAACGTGGTGTTCAGTTTGCAGCAAATCGCATGCGTGCAATCTCAATGAATGTGCGGACGTGGAAAGTGGTTGTCTCAGGTCGACCCATCGTGCCTGTTTACTTTGCTGCACATTGTAAACTGGTGGTCACAATGTGGAATGTCGAATTCGAATTCGATCGCGATCAGTTCCATCGTTGGCTGTAGGAGACGAACATAGTAATGCTATCTACTGCCCGCTACATATCGGATGAGAAGTATGTACCTACAAGTCCAAAGAGCGAAGCGTCAAGCCAAGCCAGGGAGACGCTGACGCGCTGACGGTGTCTGCTCCTTGTAGATTGTCCTACAAGACTTTTCGGTGTGTGCATCGAGCAGCTGTAGAACTCTATCTAGAAGATGCAGATTCCTTACAAAGGAATCAGAACCTGATGCCACAACGTGACGATAGATTTCGTACGTCGCCGAGCGAGTCAGGTCCGTCAGCGTCGTTGTTTTGCTTTATAAAGCAGGAGCTTTTTTCCAGCTGAAGTCGTCGTCGCGTGTCAGTCGTGACAAAGAAACTTCCGCTCGTCCATATGTTTACTGTTAAGTCCCAAGTGATCCATTTCTGCACACCAGATGGCAGCACATGGTTTGACAGTCCACGTTTTATATCCTCTCTATTACGATAAAACACCTGCATCCTCAACGATTCAATCAACCTTACCCTCTACCTCGACGAATGAATAATCCTGTCAACTCCTTTCCACGAGTCAATTTCGAACCCCGCTCGCCCATCACCCCAATCAGCATTAGCCACGCTCAAAGAGCCCCAAACTAACCGACGGAGCCCAAAGTAAGCACTTTTTCCATTAATGCGCGCAATGGCAGACGTCCAGCACCTCGTCGTCCACGTCCGTCAGCGCCTCGACGCGCTGTCCTACGAGCACCACTCGCAGTACATCTCTGGTCTCTTGCACACTGCGCCTTGCCTGCATTCGGTATCCACGTCGTCGCTCTCGTGCCCCCCGCGGCTGCTGCCCGTAGCCGTTTACGCCACAACCAAGTCGTCGCGGTTGGCGTCATTGCTTCAATATGGGGGACTTTCGGCCTTTTACGCGCGTCTGGTGCTGCTCCTGGGCACTGGGTGGCTACTAGCAATAGCTGGGATGTTTACGTGCTTACTGGCTGTACCAGGGTTAGAAGAAGATATTGTCGGGACAAGTCCAGCTCAAGTTATGGTCCAAGTTGGCGTCTTTTGCATTGGAGGCGCAATAGGCGCGGTCGCGTCGGGGGCCTGTGCCGACTATTTTGGGCGGAAACCCATTTTACTCACAGCACTGAGTTTCTGGCTTGTTGTCACGGCGTTGACTGCAGGAGCGTGGAATGACGTGTCGTTCTTGACGTTGCGACTGCTCTCGGGCGTTGGCATTGGTGGACAATTGGCACTGCTTGCAGTACTGGCAATAGAGTACACGCCCACGCAAACAAGAGGAAGAATTACGGTACTGGCAGTGTCAATGGCTGGACTCGGTGTTTGTAGTGGCGTGGGATACGGACAATTGGCTGGGTCGGCAACAGAAGATGGAGGAATTGGATGGAGACCGACGTACGGTATTCTCAGTGCGATTGCACTGCTCGTCGCGGCAGTGCTTTATCGGGTGTTAGAAGAGTCGCCCAAGTATTTAGCAAGTGTGGGACGTGCGGAAGAAGCACTGTGTATTATCGAAAAAATCGAGACGGCGCATGGCATTAGTCGCCAAGCTCGAGTGACTGTTCCTACAAGTTTGTATCAACCGCCGTCAGAGCGGCAACCGCCGTCAATATATGAAGATTATTCGGAAAGCAGCTCAGAGTCGGATGGTGACGTGGACGTGGCACTGCAACGGGGAAATACACAGGAAGATGAGCTACAAAATAGAGAAGGACGGATACTTTCACATGCTAGTTATAACTATGCAGGGCCTGGGGCAGCCAAAGCACGTAGTCGAAGTCATCGGGTGTCAGCAAGAAGATTGCAGAGTCGGTATCAATACCAGGCCGACGAATGCTCACCAGCTCTTGATGACCCAGAGAGATCTTCAAGGGCACTTACTTCGGCTGTAAATGGGTCGTTCTTGCGAGTCCTCGTGCATCGTGTAGTTGCGCTGTTTTCCGGACGACTAGCTATTCGAACTGTGGCCATTTGGCTCTTTTGGTTTGTACAGCTGATGAGCTTAAGTGCAGCTGTTATGACAACCTTGATGATGGCCAAACCGTTCATTAAGGTGGACGATAGTGGGACGAGTTTCGGCGTCGGCGATCAACTTTTTTGGTCTGGAATGGCATTTCCTGGCTTGTTGCTCGCTGCTACGATGGTGGATAATGTGGGCAGGCGGAGCACGTTGGCATTGTTTGGTTCATGTGGAGGTGCCGTCTTGTTGCTGTCAGCTTTGCTGCTAAGGGAAGATGGAAATTGGATTGGTTTATCGCTGGCATTGGGAGCTATTGTATTGACGACAAGTGGTACCCTCGGCACACTGACTCTTCTCACTGGCGAGCAGTTCACCCTCCATACTCGTGCACTGGGTCTTTCGTGTGCTATTGCTTGGGGCTATTTGGGTATGCTTGCTGGTGATTATCTTGTCCTACAGTGTGTAATTCGGGATGACGCTTGGTCATGGCACGATGAGCGTTTGATGTTGGCTCTGTGTGGTGGCGCTTCAATTTTACTGCTTCCTGTCATTCTTTTGATGGGACCGGAGACATGCGGGGTGGATATCGATGCTTCGTGGCTCGAAGACAAGAAATATACAACAGGCGGCATGCTCTCAGTGATACCGAGTGGTCGCTCGAAACTATTCGATGCAGGCCACAGTGGTGCCTTCAATGGCAGCAGTGACGGAAGCAGCCGAGGCATCGACAAACAACCTGAACCTTTGGATGAAAACAGCCGAGCGCTTCTCGAGTCTTCGCTGGGTCGACGTCCAACGAATGGCGTGGCTGCTCCGGCAATGTACTCCTCGACTTCAGCTACGCTGGCAACGGTGCATTCTTCTGAAGATAGTGATTCAATTTCAAGATCTTCGTCGCCGACATCGAATTTCTGGCAGGCACATTCGATGCGTCATCTAAGTAACAGAATGATGCGTGCGGCGCACGCTATCGCTCGCACATCAGGTGAAAAGCACGTGGTGCGTTTTTCGTCCGGTGCCAAAAAACAAGCATGTAGTGCCAGCGTCTCGAAACGAACAAGGGGCGACATCGATGATAGATGCAGTACCGTGCGTTTGGACGATCTCGATCACCTTGACAACATTGTTACAGAGCGCGACTGCCAGCATACTTATTCAAGCCTTGGTCTTCCAGATATCGGCCAGTCGAGGCGACAGTCCGATCTGGGGCTCACAGACCCTGTGCTTTTGGAATGGCGTTCCTCTATATCAAGCTCACAGTCGGGATCCGCTCTCAATTGCAGCAGCAGCAACAACACGAGTAAACGAGAGTCCAGTGATCACACGGATACGGTCGCGTCCGTACGCTACAACCGAACAGGGCGATACACCATCGATCTTGATATGTTTGACACGTTCACGTACATTTCTACGCCGGTGCTTGGTGGTGACAACTACACGAACCACGAGCACCGTGAACCAAGCAACCTCTCTTCTGCCAGTGGTAGCGAAACGAAGCAGGCAAGCGGGTGATCTCATGCGCATGAGCTAGTGTGTGATGGCAGTATGAACGTGGGCTTGACCGTGTTTGGTGCAGGTGGTATCCAAGCAGCAGAAAAGTTGATAGCAGCCCTGACGTTACTTGAGTCAACTACGCTATTGCTGTTTCAAGCAGTTCATGTGCATTTGCAGCACTGCTTCACGGGGTCGTATTGAATGACACCCGCTGCTTCTTAGATGATTGAGATCAAGTCGCAGTATGCCAGCAGGGAGATATCGACACAATTGTTGAGCTTTGGACAATGTGGACCTCACCCATTGTGACGCTGGAACTTTGGAATCACAGCAACTGATTCGTGGCTCAGTATGTCCAGCACGTCTTTGACTTCGCGTGGCAAACGCGAGTCTTTGGCAGCATCCAGGCCCGAAACAAATTTTACTGAGGGACAAAGGTATCTTTCATATCGGCAAAGCCATCGCTTCGCAGCGCTTTTGTGGTACTTCTGTTCCAATTGTCAAATGCCCGTGGCCGACATTCGAGGCCTCTTTTACCATCGGACACTCAGTTCAGACTTTCAATGTGTTCGTGAAACATTCGCTGGACTTGCGATCAAATATGCCAAAGTAGGGCTTGGGAGTCATCATCTCTGAGGCTGGCAATTGTATTGGAGCTTACTTGGCAACAAGACACTGTATGACGGTACCAATGCACCTTTCAGCAGAATTTGCGTGGTGCATTCAGTTTTTGCTTGAGGCTCATTCGTCACAAACGATATCACAGCGAAATGGACCCATAGCGTACCGACGATGGGTGACAGTCAGTCACTGGCGAGGTTGAGCGAAAGCAGAGGGTCGAGCACCAAGACGCTATTCATTCGAGCAAATGCCAAATTTGTGGTATGCACAACTTCGGCGCATGCCATCGCAGCTTTAGTATGCCATTGCCTCGCAAACTATTTACCGAACGGGAATGGGCCATAAGGTCTGAAGAGCAGCTTGTATACCTTTTTCATCGGAGCGGCTTCATCTTGTATCACTCACACATCATGATTTACCACTATTTTTTACGTCGTAAGCCTGGCTGCTTTCCAAGTCTTCCACTGATCCTGCTTAACCGTCTGCATCATCCATCTCCTCAACAGCATCAACCCCCAGCCTGAACCGCATGAGTTTAGTTTTGTTGTTGGCTCTTTCGATCTCCACATCCTACTGCAATTTAGTACTGGATCGGTCCCGGATGGTACCGAACCTGCATCAGCACATACTTGTAGCACGTTTGGTCGCAAAAATGTCGTTAACGCCATGGATATTGACATTGCCTTCGGCTTACAAAAGCTTTTCTACGACGTGCAAAACAGTACGGCGATCGAAATTATCGTGTCTATGGGCTGTGGCAATCAAGAGCTCCTGCATGTTGCTGTCGTCGGCAGAACTGCAGCCACCATAATCGCATGTTGTCTCGGCTGTGCATCATAAACGGCATTCGGACGTCAAAAGGAAAACGGGAAGCAAAAACATGCGGACTGGATTACAAAATGTGTGGAGATATGTTCCTGCATGACGCACTGTCGACATCCGTCGTAATAGGCACATGGCATGCGATTGCGTTCATCATACCAACTTGGTCCAGAACGTAGCTTTTTGGTTGTAAAACCATCGTTCGGAGCCATCCAGAATTTCATTTACAAGCACAACTGGGTGCGTCTGAGACGCAATAATGCACCGACTTTCCACAAGGAGCAAAGCCATTCGTAGCCTCGGCCAGTCAATATACTTAGCAGCGAGGGCAACTCAAAGAACTGACAATCCGAAAGAGTAGATCTGGTACCAAGCTGGCGCGAAAAGCTCAATCGGATTGCTCATGTTCGAGTAACTTTGACAAGGAGCGCTGGGTGAAATTTACAGCACCCCTTCGCCATGCTGACGTGCGGCAAGAACGAAAAACAGGGTATACGCCTCAATCCCTGTGTCGATCATGTCTCGGGACAAAGACGGCGACCGGGTTCGACTTAAAGTCACCAGAAAGCTGCTGCCGTTCGCGCACGTCTACAGACGTAATGAATAGTCATTCACCCGCTGTGTGCAAGTGTGCGTGACTCTTGTGGTCACGACAGCGCACTGATGTGCTGTGGGACTGACAGCCCTGCGCCGAAAATAATAACTCAACCGCCTTCAGTGACTGATAAGCCGTTCATGATCACTTGTAAAATTACGAGAGCGTAGATGATGACCGTAACCACCGGTCGGGTAAACATGACGAGATTCCATCAAGGTCACAGTTCGCTGACGTCCAGACAACCTTTTTAGTGGGGCAACTACGTTACCACAAAAAACCTGTGACGACATTTTCTCTGCCATATCCTGGTACAAATTGTTTCTCCTTATTGCGAAAGGGACTTGCGACGACGAGCGTTGTATATGAGGAGTGGCCGCATTTACCCTCTGTACCAAGGGCTAGTTTTGCAGACGCAAGTCTGAGCAGCAAAAGAGCAAAGCTATCTCGACTCCTCGCTTCATTATTCCAAACACAAAGTCTCAATGTGGAGCAATTAATGCGCTCACCCAACGACGAGCATAGGCCACCGGTCGGCAGTGGCGATGGTGCCCAACATCAAGCACTTTATAGCACTAAAAAGACAAAGATGGCAACACTTGATCTGCCACGGGTCCCCTCGATCGATGTCACATCTTTCCAACTCTGGCATACAAGAAGACAGAGTTCAATCAAGGTGGAGCTACAGGTACGACCGCTGGAAATAAGGAAGCCGCTATCGTAGTCGTCGTTCCAAATCTGCGCTCCTTATATAATCAATACATGCCAAGTCAACTTCCAACCAAGCTGATTCAGCTTAACCATTATTCGACCGACAAATGACTGGGCGTCGAGGAGTTGATACAGCAAAACTTACAGAGCAAACGGAGACGAAGGTGGCAGCTGCAGCTCATCCAGAAATGAATCCGCGCCATTGGTCGTGACATACTCCAGATCTGACAGGAAAGTATTGAAAGGCACCAATGCTGACTTGTCCAGTCGCTCCACGATGTACAATAGCTGGCTCGGTTTTTTCTGGAGCTCAACAAGTGGAATGCCAGCGTGTCTTACAAACTCGTCAAAACCGAAGTCATGCTTGCAGCAAAAACAAACGATCCGGCGAGCCGACACTGGATTGCGGTTAAAAGCCAGCCAGCCTGCTTTCCGAGGAAACGAGTCTTCAGGAGCTGGCGTTCGAGACCGCACAACGAGGTCAGCAAGAGCACCGTTCTGCATGTTCATCACATACTTTGGTGGCAAACAGACGACCTGGGCCACGAAATTTAACGCTTCGGAACAAACCAAACGCGCTGCGGATATAGACTCACAGCTTTCGTGCTTTGGGCGCTTAAACAACGCGAGCGCTCGGATCCTAGACAGAGAGGCGTGAGTCACATCCGTAGTGGCAGCGACATTTGCCAGACGCGTAGGAGGCGTCTCGGCGACGGCAGGTGCCTCCTGCTTCCCACCGCTACTATGGCATGACTTTACCAATGAGTTCTTCGTACTTTCCTGACGGTGCCAGCTTCTGAGAGCCAGCTGAAAATCCCCAAGTAGAGTGTACTCAGCAGTGTCACGGTGCTCGACAAACAAAAACGACATTGGACCTTTACTTGCATGTACGAACTTGATCAAACTATGGTCCGTGTGGCCTACAAACTCATGAAGCCCATAAACCTTGTCACAGCAGTGGCAATGAATTGTTGACTGCTCCTGCCGAGACCACGTGCACTGGCCTGTTTTCGCTATACCACCTTGTCGAAAGCTCAGCGTCCGTGAGCACACTACCGAAAAACACCAGCCACCGTTCTTTTCATTTTGCAGTACATCCACCGCACAAATGAGATCATCTCCTGAAAGTTCAGACTGTTTGAGTTCCTCAACAGGCTTGATGTCCATTGATTTGTCGCCTTCTGGCGACGTATCTCGCGTCGCTGACGATGACCGACTTGATTTTTGCAAGCAGACGATCGGGTCATCGATTACGGTGCTGCTTCCTCGTTGCCGACTGCGTGGTGTCGCATTCGACTGGATCGGCGTTGGCGAACCTGGTGATTTCTCACTAGCACTGGGAGTCCCAGTCTTCTTCTGACCTTTCAGCTCCTTTTTGCGCTGCCTCTCTAGCTCCATCTCGTTCATCATCTGCACCAGCTTCCTTTGGCGGTAAGGAAGCGCTTTTTCCGGCTGAGAACACGTCACACAATCACAGTCCCACAAGTACCCACCACTCCCGTAGAAATCCAAAAATGCAGCTTTACACGACGCACAGCGGAAAACGTTGCCACGATGCTCTGGTGCTTCCTGCTGAAGGCGTTGCATCTGATCCCAGATGGGCACACTTTGATCAACGTAGGGCTTGAATGCATGGACAAAACACTGTGCATGGTACACGCGACGACAGGCGTGACAATGCATCAGCACACAAATGTTTGCCACCTTCTCACAAAATCCGCAGCATCGATCTTCCTCGTCGTCGTCCACTTTTACCATTGTCAAGTCCTTCGTCTTTGTCTTGTTTTTACACGACGATTTGCTCCTTACTCTGCTCTTGTCTTTCCTGACCGGCTTCGAGCTTGAGCTCGTGAATGGTAGTAGTGGGAGATCCGTAATTACCGGCGACGCTTCAGTCGGCTCTGCTTCACACACCGAGACCTGGCGTCGCTTCCTGCCCCGTGGTGGAGACTGCTTTGCACTGTTCTTCTCCAGTGTATTTCTTGACACTCCGACTCGGGATCGTTTAGCAGCTGGCCGAGCTCCTTTGGTTGTTGTCCGCTTCTTTGTACCGTGCTCCGTGTCCATCTCCTCGTCTTTTTCGAGCACGGACAGAGAGGAAATGAGCGTCTGCAAGGCTCCTGCTTCCTGCTTCACTTGCCGCGCCATCACCGCAGTGGCAGCAGTCGCAGCAGCTCTTGATAGTCCGATTCGCTTGTTTTTTACTTGAGCATTTGCCTTGTAAACGAGAGGTACCGCTTCCTGTACATCCAAACTTGTCACTTTTGCATCTACCTCGTTCACTGGTACGATGCTTGGTTCTGCTGCTGCAACATTCGCGCAACCGCTTTGAGTACCTTGCGTCTTGGTTGTCACCTCTGTGTGACTAGTGCCACAATCTGCGGGATTTGCTGCCACAATCGGACGGCTTTCATCGTTCATCACCAGACTACTGCCACATACCGCTTGTGTCACCGTCTGCTTGATGTGTTCACCTTCGGGTGACGCAATCGGCGTGAACCATTGAATGTCCATCGACTGAGTCTCCTGTAGCCCTTGTATACTTCCCGACTGTATACCTTTGGCAATATCTACACGAGGTTCTTGTTGTGGCGGTGCCCTTTGCAATTCGATGGTCTGCTGGACAACCACGTCCATAGGCGTGGCCGCCTCGGCCAAGGACGAGGTCACGTGTGACATGAGCTTTGATCACCTAGTTCAGAAATACAAGAGGTTTGTAGGCACGATTTGTCAAACAAGAACGGGAGGTACGGAGTTGGTGACAACTGGGGTGAAATAGTATCCCAATGTACGAATCGACCGACTGATTCTTTCCCATAACCGCGATACTTGGCACATGTGACCGCGTATACGTGCGTATACCAGCTGGCACAGGTCGTACTTATGATGAATTGAATACAGAGCAGCTGTCGGATTATGTCGTGTCTCGTGCACTTGTCCGTATTAGTGTCAGCCTTAAGTACGACAGTGATCACGTTTTGGTTCAGCGCGTACATAACACGGACATTTGTGACAATCAGCCTCAAGAGGAGCTCGACACAAACAACCCGCTTTGTCTTTTATTCATTCTCACAGCATATCCACTATGCTGCACCGCCCACCCATCCACCACTCCATCAATTCCAGCAGCCAGTCAAAAACATACTTGGGTACAACATCCAGGTACGTCCACCCGCTCTCTGTGCAGACTCTGTAAGAGCTCCACTGCGTGACGACCGTTGCGTATCTCTCACGTTCCTAACACCCAATTCCCGACGCAGGTCTCTTCGTCCCTTCACGATTCCCTCCTCATCCGCTCCGTCACAACCAGTCCACAGATGTCCGTCCCAGTCAAAGGGGTCGTCCGTCTCCGCGTGTTAGCGGGCAAAGCAAGCCCCTCACCCGCCATTGGCCAAGCCCTGGGTCCTCTCGGCGTCAATATGATGGAGTTCTGTAAAGCGTTTAACGAACGATCAGCCAATCTGACGGAAAACGTCCCCGTGCCTGTTGTGCTCACGGCGTTCACTGATCGCACGTTCACCTTCGCCACCAAGACGCCGCCGACCTCGTGGTTCCTCAAGAAAGCAGCCGGGATCACGTCTGGATCGGCCACACCTGGACAGCAGGTCGTGGGGTCCGTGCATCTGCGGCAGATCTACGAGATCGCCAGGGTCAAGCAGCAGGACGAGATGGTGGACTACATTGACCTCCAGTCCATTTGCAAGACCATTATTGGCTCGGCCAAGTCCATGGGACTGGACGTGGTGCCCTAGACGCACGAGGTACACTTTGTCAGGAGCGAAGAAGCTCGCAATGAATTGAACAAACTCCATACGAGGTCTAATTTTTACACCTGCACGATGGGCTGAGACGCCGGTCGATGTCCAGGTAGTCATCAGGTACCACTGCAGTGCTCTTTTTGCTGGTCTCGATTTCGTGATCTCGTTCTGCTTTACGTTATTGACACTCGTGCACGAAGAAAACAGCAGCCTGATTGGGCTGGAATCTTGTTGCACAAGCATCACCATCACCCCCCCCCCTCCTTCACCTCTGCGGATTAGTCGATTCGGCTACAGTGGATCGTCCAAGACTTGCAATGCAACTGCCGAGCGAGTAAAACTCCTATAAGTGTCGATCAAGTGTTGGATGGACAAAGAGATCCGATCCAAGTGGCGCGGTACACATGATCATGGCTACTCGCCGAGTTCCATCTTGATGTCGCTGTCGCGGAAAATCGAAGTGCGCCGTGAACCAACAATGTCGCTTCCCATGTAGCTGAAATCATCGAAATGCATCGCCATGCTGCCCGATCCGGTCGACGAGTCCAGTACACCCACCACGGGCGAATCTGCGACTTCTTGCTGTTTAAAGACATTCGGCACATACTGCAAGTTCGCATTGAGCGCTGCACTGCTAGTTCGTGCACGGCTTCCGTGTGAACTTTTCGTCATGGGCTTAAACGGTGGATCCACTCGGCGGTTCAGGAGTGCGTCCCAATCGACACCCTTGAACCACGCATGCCCCATAATCTCCAGTGCACCATCACTACCGCAGCCCAGTCGCTGCTGTGGATTCTTAACGAGTAAGCGCTGCAGAAAATCCGTAGCAATGGGCGAGAAATGCGCAGAAGGGTACAGCGGCTCCTTGCTCAAGATGTTCTGAAACATCTCGCGACGATTTTTGTCCCAGAACGGGGTGTGTCCTTGAATCATCTCGTACACGAGCACACCGTAACTCCACCAGTCAACCGTATTGCCATATGATGTAGCGGTCCGCTGACTGCAAAGCAATTCGGGCGCCAAGTACTCGGGGGTTCCTACAAACGTCGAGCCCTCGTCGTCTTCCTTGGACAACCCAAAATCGGTGATCGCGACATGCCCTTCGCTGTCCATGAGGATGTTTTCCAGCTTCAAGTCGCGATACATGATGTGCATACTGTGCAAATGGGCCAACGACAGCACGAGCTCCGCTGCGTAGAAGCAAGCTCGGTGTTCGGGAAAGCGCTTTTCCTTGCGCAGATGCACGAAGAGCGAGCCGCCAGAGTAATAATCCATGACCAAGTACAGCTTCTGGTGGTTCTGGAACGCATACCGCAGTCGCACGACAAACGGGTGCTCCACGTGCTTGAGGATACGCTGCTCCGACTTGGTGTGCTCGACCTGCTTTTTCTTAAACACGTCCTGCTTCCGCAGCACTTTCATGGCGTAGACACGACCGGCATTCTTGCCATGCTTTTTCTTGGCTAAAAAGACCTTGCCATACGCGCCCTTGCCAACCACAGAGAGCAAGTCAAAGTCGTTCACGCTCATGGACGTGGAGATGACCATACTGCGTCGTGAACTGCGAGCACTATTCGTGCGACGACCCATGTGGTTCCCAAAGCTCGACACTTCCACTTCTTCTCGAAATTCCGCATCTTCCAAATGCTCCAGCTGATGTGACGCAGATGAGATAGCGGCTGCACCAGCATACGCATACTGTGAGAGCCGCCTCATTTCGTCCATCAGTTCGTCATCAGCTGGTTCATCCGGCATCGACCCTCGAGCACTCTCAAAGAACGCAAACACAGTGTTCATACTCGCAGCAATCGTCCACGCCGTATTAGACGACTTTTGCTCAGCGGGGGAAGTGGGTTCCCCCGCCGAGAGACTCAAACAGCCTAGCTGTGTGCAATCTTGGAGCTGCGTTCCAGGACTCTGCTTCGATCGCTGCCAATTGATAGCTCTTGTGCCCAAAAGCCCTCTCACTTCCTGCGTGTCGTCCCCTTCAACACGGTGACTCGACTCAATAAACGCAATTGCCGCAAGCTTCAAGCGCAGAAGTGGCTGCGTGCACACCAAGCGCTTGGTCAACGATCCCCCACGTCCGTACGCAGCAATATACACTTGCGAACACGAGGCCCGAACGCCATACGTCTCCCACACATACCGCACGTGCAGCTCCGGTGTACTCGAGTGTGGAACCGGGATCTTCTGACTCCCGACACTCACTGTGTTCGTGCTTGGGTTCATGACCACAACGCCATAGCCTTTGGACAGCGCCGTGTGTAGATACGGCAGCATCGAGCCAGAGCGGTACTGATTCGGGACGTCCGGGGCCTCCAGCACGAGCGAGCGGCTCCAGATGCCCGGCTGAATGCCGTTGCCACTCACAATCACGAGCAACAAACGACGACAAATGTGCCAATTGGCGCTCATGAAGATACTGCAGTGCGCAGGACTCTCCGCTGAGGGAATGCACGTCTCGACAAAGCCCAGCTGGACCATCTTCTGCTGCTCTTCCAGCACGATCTGGTGCAGTTTGGCCTCCATTAGACCGCGTTCGTCGTCTCAGGATGCTGCAGGTGAGCAGGCAATAGAGAGAGATGAAGGAGGAGGGGGGAGGTAGAGGGAACAGAGAGGGAGAGAATATATGTGTCTGTCTGTCTGTCTGAGGAGCAGCTGGCCATTATTGTGTTCCTCCTGTACATGTGGAAATAAATGTAGCCATGAGAAAATGTACCCAAGTCCACACTGGCTCTATTTGGTGCCAGCGACACAAAGGGTCTTTTGCGACGGGGGGAGGGGGTGCGTGTCGGTCCTGCGCTGCTTCTGGTCGGAACGAGCTCGTGAGAAAGAAAAGCCACGTCGTGTTTCGGGAAAACAGCTGCTTTGAGGTCACGTGGAGAGAAAGATCCTCAAGAGGACAAAACCCCGTGTGCGCCTCGTGTGGCAGTACAGGAACGACCTTCGCGCCACCGGTCACAGACGAGGTGTGGTCCACAGTCAACTTGAAGTGGTCACGAGTCCCGACGTTGCGTGGAAAAAACCGGTTGAAGGCTCTCGTCGTGATGGATAAGCGTCTATCCCTGCAAGAGCTTTGATAGATGGAGATGAATTCGTCTCCTGGTAGGCACCGGCGCTCTGTTTGATGCCATTATCAATTCGGTTGTCACCTTCGTACTTGTGCTCAATGACGAAGAACTTGTCGTCTCGAGCGCTCGTGCTGCTGCTAGTCGCGAGTATATCCGTCCATACCATCACCAGTCAATTTGCTGATGACCCAACGCTCTTCGGAAGTCCCCAGACGTCGCCTCTGCTCACGATGCAGTCAAATATCACGTCCACATCGTCCCAGTCTGGCTCTAGCGACGATTTCAGCATGACTGACGGTGGAAGTGGCAGCGAATCTGGCAGTGACGGTGGCTTGGAAGGGTCGACGAGTGAAGGAGGTATGGACGACAGCGAGGATGGCAGTTACTCTGGCTCTAGCAGCTCAAGCTTGGAGTATGAGTGCGACTGCCGATCGGTTCGCCGGGTCTCGCTCATGGGAGCCTCGGACTACTGCCTCGCACCAAATGCGTCACTCAGCAGCAAGTGCGGCAACGTTGATCTGCGTGAAGATGGGGGCTGCCCGATCGTTGGAGCTCAGCCGTGCTCGTCGAAGGGTCACGTCCTGACGAACGACTCGTTCTGCGCGCTGGATAAGAAGGATGATACGTACAAGTGCGTGGCCAGCAAGAACGACTTGGAGATTCAGAAGAATGGCAAGAAGAAGAAGAAGAATTCGAATCGCCGTAGCGGGTCAGAAACGGCGACGAGTGCGGCGACGGTGGAGCTGGAATTGACAGCACGTCAAGTACTGGCAATTGTGGTTTGCGTGGCAGCCGGAATGATGGTGTTAGTGTAGGGGCTACAATGGACGGTCTGCACACGTTCGTTTGTCACGAATACGTAGTCTGCTGCAAAAGCGACACGTCAACAGTACGTTTGTTGAATCCAATGCATTGTCCGCTTTCTAGCCTGGCATCGTTGTGTTATTGCCTCCATTGGGCATGATTGCGTCTTTTTTTCTTCAGTTATTCTTGAGGTCGTTGGCCGGAAGCACAAAGTTGCGGAGTCGCAACCACTTGACAGCAAAGTAGTCCTGAGTCACGAGCATCAACGGCATCATCACACATGCCTGTGCAATAAGAAGCCCCACAAGGTTTTCCATGGGAGAGTGAAAGTACGAAGCCGTGAAAAACAGCAAGTACGTCGCCAGTCCGCCAATGATGATGATCCATGCGCGTAGCATCGTCCGTTTCAGACTCGGCCCGTCGCTCTCAACGTTCAGTGCAAACCACTCGAAAAGTGGAATCGCCATGTAGTGACTTACGAGCAGCACGATATGGTCCGAGTGGTCAAATCCCACTGGGCAGCGCTTTCCATGACGAAGACTGGCGTACCAGCAAGAATTGTCCGAGCGGCCCATGACAGTGCGTATCAGCCCCTTCTCCACCTGGCCAAGTCCTATGTACAGCACCACTGTGCGCAAGGCCATCAACGCCGCGTACAAAAGTCCACGACGGATGTACACACGAACGCGCGGCATTGTCACGTCCGGTCCCAGCATCATTGATCCATAATTGAGCACCAGTACTGACAGCGGGATCGCCCACGCTCCCTACAGCAAAAGTCACAGTTGGTACCGAGTTAAGAGTAATACATGGATTGTTGGCTTTAATCAGTCAGGCAGTTGAACGTACTTTAAGAGACCCCATCACGGGCATAAGGTCCATGCCCGAATAACAAGGGACATCTGCATAGCCTCCAGACTCATTGTTGCAGCATACAGAAGTCGAGTTCGCAGGAGCATTCACATGTAGCCAATTTGACTCACACCTGGGACCCAAATTGGTGTATCGGTACACAGTATTGATTAGAATCAGGTACAGATTGAACACCAGGGCTCCGTCAAAGTACGACTCCACGCCACGTACTCGCCCTTTACACGAACGAACTTGTGCGGAAAGCGGAACGACGTGTAGAGCACCAGAAGCAGCAGCAACACGTTCACTGTAAGGAACGTGCCCCGCGCATGGACCTTGTGCAGCATTAGCAGCGCCTGCTGCGTCGCTGAGAGCGTCTTTGGCGCGGTAGATCTACTTTTTAGCATGCGAATTCGGGAATCCCAGCTGATTGGTGTAGCGCACACAAAATAGGCAACAAGACCCGACAATTAGCGTTGCAGTTGATGGGTTAATTGTTTTCCTTTTCTTGAGAAGACTGTATGGTCATTCTGGCATTCTCGTTCGTTTGCACAGTCGGTATATAGCGGATAGGATGTATGCTGCTAGTATGGAAGAAGAAGTACAAGCCGTAGTGATTGATAACGGGTCTGGCATGTGCAAGGCCGGATTTGCAGGCGATGACGCACCACGGGCTGTGTACCCTTCTATTGTAGGCATGCCGAAGCATTTAGGTATTATGGTAGGCATGAACCAGAAAGACGCTTACATTGGCGATGAAGCGCAAGCGAAGCGTGGCGTCTTGACGCTGAGGTACCCGATTGAACATGGTATTGTTACGAATTGGGACGACATGGAGAAAATATGGAGCCACACGTTTTACAATGAACTACGGATCGCACCCGAAGAGCATCCAGTACTTCTCACGGAAGCTCCGTTGAACCCAAAAGCGAATCGAGAACGCATGACGCAAATTATGTTTGAGACGTTTAATGTGCCGGCAATGTACGTCAATATTCAAGCAGTGCTGTCGTTGTACGCTTCTGGCCGAACCACGGGCTGCGTGCTGGACTCTGGTGACGGCGTCTCGCATACAGTGCCTATCTATGAAGGATACGCCTTGCCACACGCAATTGTGCGCCTCGATCTAGCTGGTCGTGACCTGACGGACTACATGATGAAAATTCTGACTGAACGTGGCTACTCGTTCACAACAACGGCAGAGCGCGAGATCGTGCGTGATATCAAGGAGAAATTGACGTATGTGGCGATGGATTTCGACCAAGAGATGCAAAAAGCGGCTCAGTCGTCTGCACTCGAAAAATCGTACGAGCTACCTGATGGCAATGTGATCGTGATCGGCAGTGAGCGCTTCCGTACACCTGAAGTACTTTTTGACCCGTCCATGATTGGCCGAGAGTGCTCCGGCGTCCATGACTGTGCGTTCCAGACAATCATGAAGTGCGACGTTGACATCCGGCGGGACTTGTATAACAATGTGGTGTTGTCGGGCGGATCAACGATGTTCCCCGGAATTGGTGACCGCATGAGCAAGGAAATGGCCGCGCTAGCGCCGGTGGCGATGAAAGTCAAGATCATTGCACCACCTGAGCGGAAGTACTCGGTCTGGATTGGAGGATCGATCCTGGCATCTCTGGCTACCTTTCAGCAAATGTGGATCTCAAAGACCGAATATGACGAGGCGGGACCTTCGATCGTTCACCGCAAATGCTTCTGATGGAGCAAAAGGAGCTTGGAAAGAGGCAAGGGTACATGTGACGACGATTCTGTGAAGACCTTGAGGCTTGAGTGCTTCGGTGTTGGCTATGCTTTTCTGTTAGTTCGGCCCTTAACTGCAATTTGAGAGTCGACGTGTGATTTGAGGACGTCATTCTTCATCCTAACATTTTCCTTGTTGTTACGTCCACCTAGCCAAACGTATTACCTTGCAAATTTGGCAGTTGTCATCGCAAGTGCCTTTGACAGACGCTTCTCTCATCATTATTGTTAGCATTACTGTTCTGGTCGCTAACTGAGCGCCTCAATTCGCCAAGCACGAAACGCTGGGGCAGACTTCATCCCTTATATAAAATGAAGCAGCTATTATTGTGCCTTCAAAGTACATAACTTTTTACGCGCGATGTCTTCATCGAGCAATTCCTTCAATTCAGCAGCACACGCGTATCAATGTCCACAGCTTCCTTATGATGAATTGGACCTGTTGTCTTCGTGTCAAATTGGAGATGAGGGATCCTAAAAAACAAGCAACTCGCCTAAAAGAATGGGCGGATAGCTGCAAAACAGTGATCAGTCAGCCTAAAAGCATGAGAACGGCCACACAAAACTTGAAAGGGGGAATTGTAAAAAAGGAACTCGTCTCAAAAAACAAGTGGATAGCCGCAAATAGGAGAATAGCCCCAAAGAAAGTTGATAGAATACAAGCGTGTGAACGACCTCCCAAACATATTTCCTTCCTGCAGAACTCTTCTAATGACCTAGCTGCAACGCAGCCAATTCATAAATTCTGCACACACTTGTCTTAGAGACGCATCCCTTTAAAAGACCGAAATTAGTGTCTCTAGTGGGTCTCCCTCTAATCCCCTTTCAGTGAACATATCAAAATCTGGAGCTCATAAACGAAACTGCTCGCGCATATAAGAATGGCTTTGCAATTGCTGTACTGAGGTCGTGTAAATGGATTCATTCTCGATTTACAAGGAAGATCTGGATGCGATGTGCTTAGGAAGGACAATATCGCATTCGGTCATGTGAAGGAATAGCTTACAAACAAAGGCTGTAACAGGGTTACACAAACGGTTGTGATAATCAGGTATATTGGTGCGGTACACACCGAAAGACATCAGTGTCACTGATAAGGCGTTCTATTGCATCACATACGCTCAGCGAGAATACCGTACCCCATCCACTATGGTTAGAGGAAATACATCGCAATGCGGTCTTCATAGAGGCGACGTATTTCTGGTGTGGTACACAAGAAAGAGCAACGATGAGGACCATTCGATCTCGTAGCACAGTTTTAGGTTAAATACGTAAGTAGGTTTATATATCGCTATAAATCAGTAAACATATTCAGCTCCCTTTTTGATCAGCATCAGCCACGTGTCTTTCTAAGACGTCTCTGGTCGTAAGGGTCAAGCGCCCGAGTCGAAGCTAAGTACTCTTAGGCATTTGTACCACGTGATTCCTCAAAGTCTTGGTCTTCAAAACCAGGACTGAAAGCTTAACAGCTTGTACGTACGCTTAGAGTTAAGTCTCGTTAAGTCTGCAAGGCTCGAGACCCTTTACGTTAAGACCCGCTTAGTTTGACATGCTAAAAGACTGTACAAATCTAGAAGTCTTCCTCTGACTAAGGAGTTAGGGTAGCTCCGCTACAAAGGTCAACAAAACGAGTGGGACGTGCTTACGTGTATAAGCTTCACTTAAAGTAAGAACAAGTGACCATGGCGCATAACAACAGTTGTACTACTGCGCCGTACTCTCACCGGGCTGCATAGTTCCACTAAGCAGGTGTGGGTGGAATCGCGATCGGCAGCGGCCACTCCTTGCGCGACCAGGTCTTCCAGGCTGCACGATTCTCCACTACTGATCTATCGCCGTTTATATTGCTGTTACCGTTTTTGTTGTGCAGGCTAAGTCCAGTGTATGCACTACTGTCGGGCTGAGACCCTTCACGCTCGTATTATTAAACTTCGCCCGGCTACTGCTTCAAATCTATATGCTAATTACAGTTTCTATTGCCTGTATAATCATCTAGTGATTGCCATTTAAGCAAGCTACTACGCATTCCAAGTTTTTTTTGCTACACTCATGCTTGTGGGCTGGCTATACACTTGTTTTAGGCTAGATGCTAGTTTTTGCAGGATCTCCCACCATGAATTAAGTTAGGGTATCCTGCTTAAATAGAAGTATCAGGATAAAAAGCAAAGCTACAGAAACTGATTTGATAAAGATATTGGAACCAGTTGTCACGTGAATTTTACTAGCAAAATGTAACGGGGTGAATCGTTACATAACAATTTATAAGAAATTGTTAATAGAATATAACTATAAGAGTTATATTCTCAGAATATTGTCATAAGGACAAATATTCTGTAGCACTTACAAGTAGTTCCTAATTGGTTGATATAGGCCATTATATCAACCAACGAAGACGCGCCACGACAGACGCACGCAATGAGTGGTGAGCAGATAACTGATTTACACATTTGTATTTAGACATAGTTAGATGAAGATAAATAGTGATTTATTGCAGACATTAACTATTATAAATACGGTTCTACTTTTTACTCTAACCAAGTACTCGCTTCTTCTTACCGTCTTCCTCTGCACGTACCAGTGTACGTGAAGTTACGAGGCACCGCCTTATTCTGTCATCAGAATAAGTACCTTGTACTGTCACCAGTACAAGCTTCAGGGTGCCCCGTTACACCTGGTAGCACTTCGTAGTCCGTCCAAGGACCGCGTTCACATCCAACATGAATATTTTGGATGATGAAGATGACCAAAGCTTTCACGCTACGCGTGACGGCTACTCCCATTTTAGCGATGTCGAATGGGATGCGGTTGAACGAATGGATTCGACCATGGGCATCCATGCTGTTAGCGTCATGCTCGAGGCTCTCAATAGAGATGCCCAACATGCTACTATCGCCAAGTTCATTCAAAATGAACTTGACGCTGAACGCGAGAAAGTAGCCTTGCTTCACCAACAAGGTTCTCAACAAGCAGAGTTGTTGAGAGAACAGGGTGCTCAACAGTTTGAACTGTTGAGACAGCAGCAGGCTGCTGCTGGTGGGTCGATGCACTCGCGTCGACCCGAGGCCTTGAAGATTGACATCTCCAAGACTAGGGGGGTCGAAGAAGACTCCCTCTTGAGATGGTTCGTCGAATTAGATGACGCCATAAGGGCGCGTCGCATCGACGACGGGGATATGCAAGTTGCATTTGCCCAGTCAAATCTGGCAGGACGTGCCAAGACTTGGGCACTGGGGCTCAAGTTGCACGACCCATATGCGTTTGGGTCGTTGGAAGTCTTCAAGTCGCGGCTCAGACAAACGTTTGAACCGCCTAGAGCTGAGTTCAGGGCTCGAATCGAACTCTTGAAGCTCAAACAGAGTAAGCGTGATGTGCACGCTTACGCTCAACATATACGACATCTCACGAGTTGTATAAGTTCCAATCCGGTGGATGAACACACGTTGGTTTCGGTGTTCATGCAGGGTCTTGCGGATGGTCCCGTCAAGACTCACCTGTTCCGGCTTGAACTAGATTCACTAGAACAAGCCATTTCCATTGCGGAGCAGGAAGACTTCAGTCTGAGACAGGCTCGCGCCAGCTCGACATCATATCGTCAACCGAGACGATATGACAACGGAGGTCCAGAGCCGATGGAACTCTGTTATGTAGA